TTTAATTTTAGCCAATGTTTCTTCCGCTTTTTCTACTTCAAGTTCGGACCCATCATGTTGTTCAAGATCTTTGGCGGTCTCAACACCTTCCTTGAAATCCGTCATTTCAATCTTCTTTTCTTTTGCTAGTTCTGCCTGTGAAATATCTTCTACAGTTATTTCTTCATTAACTACCTGTTTCATTTCCTCTTCAAGTTGTTCATTTGTTTTCGATTCATCATCCTTTATAGCTTTCTTGAGTTCAGTTAATTCCTGTTCCTCATCCATTTTTTCCTGAATTTTCTCTAGCTCCATTTCTTCCTGTGGTATTTTTTCCATGGATTCTTCTGGTATCGCGTTAGTATGTACGAGAGGAAACTCAGCAAATTCACCAGTGCCATACTTGTTAATAGCAGCAACGCGGAAACTATATTCGGTGTCCGCATCAAGGTCTTCAATCAGACAATTCGTTTTGTCATCTGTTACCTATAAATGAAATAGTGTAATTATCAAACAATAGAAGAACTGTTAAAGCTAAAAGCAATACAACATATCATTTGACAAGTCCAAAAATTAAAGAAAAAAAAAGTAACAAAGTTGTTCACAACAAAAGTTTGATCATTTCCATTTGCGCATACCAGAATGATTTACCTGAATAACATGATGGAATGTTCGACGACCGATTTCTTTCTTCTCAACGATATAACCGATAATTTTGCTACCACCGTCATCTTTTGGAGCATCCCACTCTACACTTGCTGTGTCACGAGAAACATCTACAATTCGTGGATTCTCAGGAACACCGGATATATCTGTAAAAAAATACTCATGATAAGACCAGCATGTTTGCTGAGTTATATTTTTATAATTTTTCGTTTTCATCATCTTTTCATTCTTCAAAAAATTACATTGCTTCACTTTTTTCAACTCTTATTCAAATCTTGGAAAGAATGGTGGAAATAAAATTAAAAACATTATCAATTAAAATATTCTGTAAACGATTAGTTTTACCTTTAACATTAATAGTGAAAGTTTTGACAGCTTCACCAAATTCATTGCTGATCTTAAATGTATATTCACCAGAATCATTTTTATTAGTTTTCCGTTTGCAAAATTGTACCATATCATTGATAATCTCAAGTTTCAATTTTGCTCCAACTAATAATGGTTCATTGTTAAAGAAGCAAGAAACCGATGGTTCCGGTACCGCTTTATATGGTATATTGAGAAGGAGATTTTCATGTGCTTCGAAATTAACACTTTCCGGTTCCGGTTGTTTCGCAATAATAGGTGCTCCTTGCATTATTAGCATTGTGGAAGTTTCTAATGAATCCACCTTTATGGAATAACGTCCAGCATCATCGTATGTAGCATTTTTGATCGTTAATGTGTAAATGTTTCCTTGCTGAGTGATCACATAATTTTCATCATCTTGCGACACTTTCTCACCCTTGCATTCCCAAATAATGGAATGTGCTGGATGAGTGACAGATACAGCAAGTGTTACATCTTCACCGCATTTGCCAAAAGTACGACGTGGTAACAGCTCAATAATCTCTGCTGGTGTATCTTCTACAAAAATAATCGTTTCTGCGACAATATCGCCTACTTTTGCAACGACGATCGTTTCATTATCATTTGGTGTAATATCCATCATTGTTAGTGTTCTTATCAATGAACTGACTTCCTCAATACATCTTGAATCTTCACTTGCAGGTTTATTATTAATGAGCCATATGAAATCATCATTATTTACCAGCTCGCATTCGATTTTAATAGTATCACCACGGAATGCAATAATTTCTTTATCAGGTGCCTGAATAAATCCAGTACGTTTCTTTCGAGCATGTTCGTAAGCTTCTTGCTTTTCACTATCTTTGGCAATTGGTGTTAATTCAATTTTTTCTTCTTCCAAATCTTTTCCAGCTTTTTCCACTTTTTTCTTTTCACTCTTTGCTGTTCCTTGTACAGTTATTACAAGTTCTTCTTTAATGAATGTAACAGGGAAAATATTCTCGGCATTTTCTTGGTATTCTTTCTGTTCAAAAACTAGCTCAACTTCCACTTCTTTTGTTTTGGGAAGCGGTGGTAAACCAGTTCGCTTTTTTGATATTCTTACACTCTCTTCAGCTACTTCCATTCCCGCTTCTTTTTCAATATTCTTGAATGTGAAATTTTCTGCAGAACATGTTCGATGACTGACGGATTTACGACTCTTCGCAGAATCCACTTTCATTGCAACAGAAGCGGAAAGAGACTTCTTTGGTGATGTTTCAACTTCTGCCGTTTCTCCATTCATTGCAATCTCTGTTGTTATAATCGTCTCGGATATAAGCGTACTCTTATCACCATATTTTGAGCTTATTTCTGCAGGAATGACAAGCGCTTTTGGCACCTTTTTCTTTCTTTTCTCCATTCCTTTTTCAGATTTCTCCTTCTTTCCCTGTAAAATAAATTTATATCAATACTTATCATTAATCTTTTAAAGGAAGAAACTTGTAAAAATGAATGAAATATTTCGAAAAAAGTCTACGATAATAACATACGGCAGTTGAGAAGAGAAAAAGTGTAACCTCTTCAATATCTTGCGATTCTTTTCCCACACTTTCTATTTTCTGATCAGTTACTGAAATGAATTTATATTATTTGATATAAAACATGTGGTCGTTATTGTTCTTAGAAAAACAAGATTACTGAACTTAAATTAATAAGCTCTTGATAATAATTTATTCAGTATATCTATTAAGGCATTGGAACAGTCAAATTTGCTAACAAACTTTCTCAGACATTTAGATTTAGCTAAGAAGCATTCACTTATAAGCCTGAAACATTAACACCTATCGATCACTTAACACATAAGAAAATTCCAAATAAGGATATTTCAAAAATGTACTACTAATAATATTCTTTTTAATGATGACTAAGTCAATCAATACTGTTGGTCGTTTGTAAGTTACGAGTTAATCTACCGTATCACAATTAATAGTCATATTATCAATGATTATCAAAAACTTGTATAGAAAATTATTGCTATAGATATAGATGTCCACATATTACTGTTTATAGATATGTACTATTGAATACATTGAAAATCTCAAAACTCCTTATTTCAACTTTTTTTGAGATTTGACCGCAGGAGCACCAGAAACAGATTATGAAATAATCCTGACTGGTCAAAACCAGCGGAAAATTTTTAAGTCGCCTAATGTTACATATTTAAAAAAAAAAAAAAAAATCAATTTACGTGATATTTTTACTAATCATCTTATACGACATATTTCCAGTTTTTAGGGAAGACTTTAAAAATAAATGTATAGATTTAAGAAATGAGGAAGTTCTTGATAATTTTTAAAATATCGTTTAAGATTTTTTCACTGTAATTTATGTGCAACAATGTTTCTTCTGTGTTATTTTACTTTCAATAAAGTTAGTTTTGGATGATTTTCAGTCTTAATACTTTTTATCTACAAACAATACAATGAGGAAATAAAATATTAGTAGATCAAAATGGAATCTTCAAAAAGCTATGCTGAGAAATTTTAAATTAGGAAAGAAGATAGTTATGAAAGGGACCACATTGTCAAGAATTTCATGTATAAATTTGATATAACATAAAATTAGTGCGCATTTAGCAATTGCTGTGCAAAAAACTAGGATTTTCCTAAAATCCTAAGTTTATCTGCAATAGAAATCTATGTGCTTTATTACTTAAAAACTCGAAATTTGTTGGTTTTATTTTTATTGTAATATATGAATATTATTAAAATAAATTCTCTACAAAATACAATAGGTTTTGCTTTATTGAAATATTAATGAATAGATCCGTTGAAGTTAAGTTATCCCAATCATGAAAAAGTTAAAAAATGGACGAAAAGAAATAGTGTGCAAATAACACTAATTTTTGAGAAAATGTCTACAGATCATTTTTCGCTAACAAGCAGTTTAGAATTTAAAAATTCATAAATCACGCACCGATTGATTTGCGCTTAGCTTTCGGTAATTTAAGATTGAGTTGTTGCATTTCAGTTTTGCTTGCTATAGATATCAAAATTTCAGTTTCTGCATTTTCGGCAAGCATTTTAACTTCTTCAATGAGGCGTGAGATGGCGACAATTGCGGGTGACATTTGAACTACCAGTGAGGCAATCTAAAATGATATCAGACTAAGGTTACACGTATTTGACTATTTTTACACTTAATTAATGAAAAATCCTAATATTACAGACCATAATACAACTATTAGTTAAGAACAATGAAATTGAATGTGTAGAAATGGAAATTGTAAGTTTGTATGTAATCAATGGCGTAATAAAAGCAATGTTTCGATTTTTTCAGAGATGTATGAAAGGTGTTTATTACACGATACTGCATTAGATTCTTGATTTGTAAAGTCTAAATACGAATATTAACAAGCATTAAAGCGAAAAAAGAAAAAAAAAACCATCTTCTTGGTCTTCAAAAGAAACCGTTCTCTGCTACTCACCGGTTATAAACATACCTGACTATGGAAGACGGGGCCAATAGCTTCAATAGACTCTTCTTCCATCAAACCATCTAAAGTAACGTCAACATCAAGAATATTTGATGCTAATTCATTTAAAGCTAGTTCACTTTCTTCGAAACTTGTCAATACATCTACAATTGCATCTGTTGTTGCCATTTCTTCACCAGCATCCACTTCAATATCAGCTACTACTGAAACGGGATTACATTTAAATAATATTTGAGATGTTTGGAACCATTTACTTGATATCGAATGATTGTCATAGAAAAAAAGGAATCAGTACGAAAAGTGTACCATCTAAGTGTTAAAGAAAAAATACAGCACTCTAAGATAAATACTGTTATGATATCACAGAACCAACCAGATGTCGAACGTTCCTTCGATCGTCTTCTCGACATTTCGGATACTGTTTCATCGTAATCAACGGTGAAATTTTCATCTTCAATTTCCCTACCAATACAGAATGACGTACACGTAGAGCATTTCCTAGCAAGCGCAAAAATCTGAACAGTTTCACCACGTGGACTAGGTCGTATTATTTCTTCTGCGAGTTCAATTTGTTCCGTCGGACGCTCAGAATTAAAAATAGTACCAACACCAATTTTTTGAGTTCTCTGTTTCGTGAACTCAAAGCTAATAGAAACCGTCTCAACGGGAATTTCTTCCGAATGCTTTGTTTTCAGCATACCCAATTCTTCAGGCCTTTCCATTTTTTCCTTCCAACTTTTAACAGATTTTCGAAATTTAGGAAGTTCAACAAAAAGACTACAGCAACAAAAACCAGCAGATGTGGGCATTGTATCGGCAAAGCCATGCTCTGGAGATTTTTCAACGCACAACGAAACTCTCGTTTCCTTAATCTCCTCAGACTTTTCAATTGCTTTTTCCGCCTTCTTACCTTCTTTTGGCTTCAACGCTTTCTTATTATCAGTTTCATCTTTTGGTTGCTCCACTTCTGGCTTCTTTGCTAAATGAATCGAAGCTACGGTAGAATCTGAAATCACGCAGACTAGGGACACATTAGCAAACTCATTTTCGGGACGTTTTCCTAAATCCAACCTTCCAGTCTCTTCAGACTTCTCAATTGCTTTTTCCGTCTTCTTGTCAACAATCTTCTCTTTTGGCTTCAACGCTT